TAATGTTGTTTCTAATGAGGTATAACTTCATTAGTCTTTCTGTAAAGTTAGGACTCAGAGAGATAACTTTACTCTATTTTTATCCTGGAACAGAAGTACAAATTCTAGGTCACATGCCACCCATCCTACTCAAAACCCATTCTATTTCTTTATCTATTATGTGAGGATAATAGTTGTCTACATACGTCACAAGAATGCTCTGAGGGGATAAGTAATGTATAACAGAGATACATAATAGAAAAATGAATAAGCTAGGAGCTGTGTATTTTAATAAGTATGCATCGTGTTAAAAATGTGCTTGAGAGAAGAAGGACAAAAATGTACAACGGCATCTTGCTTTTTACTACAATCTTTTGTTAAAATCGTGGTAACGTGAAATGCTGGGGGGGGCGCTTTAGTGAACTTACACCATACAAGATCCAGCAGCCTGTAGGGACATGGACTACAGATTAGTATTCCTTGCATACTCACAATTGCAGCAGGAGCTTACTGTGTCGTCCCATCAACAGTTCAGTACTATTGCATTTTTTACATGTGAAACACTTCACAGTTCTAGTAATAGGGTTCCCAAGTCCGTTTTGCTCCACGGCGGGGGGCTCCGAGATGGCGTCTTGAGCACGCGCGCGCTGCATGCACGTCAGCCGGAGATGACGTGATGATGCCGGGCACGCTGGGGGTGGGGCCACAGCCATCTGAGGGGAAAACTCTATGTTTTCCCCTCAGATGGCTGTGACCCCGCCCCCAGCGTGCCTGGCGTCATCACGTCACCTCCAGCTGACATACAGGCCAGGGTGGGGTTCCCCCCGGGGCCCGATTTCACGGTGGCAGAAATCGGGCCTCCAAAGCGGGGGGTTACCTGCCCCCTGGGGGGACTTGGTAGCCCTATCTAGTAATGTTTACTTTTAAAATGTCTGCGTGATATTCATCTATATTATTATCATCTTACAGAAAAGTGAGAGATAGATTGTCTGACAGTTCAATCCTAAAGAGAGTTACTCCATTCTAAGTCCATTGACTTCACTGAGGGGAAGTCTCTTTAGGATTTCATTGCAAGTATGTCTGTCCCGGCCCAGGCCAGGCTCCCCCGATGCAGAGGGCTGAAGGTGCGGCAGTGGAGACCCCAGACCCACCCCCCGCCCAGCCTACGGAGCCGCTCGGGCCGTGGAGGAGGCCACAAGCAGTGGCAGAGCCCCACTTTTCACGGTGCCTTACCTGGAGGGAGAAGGAGGAGGCCTAGACCTGTGGCAGCGAAGTGGTGGAGCAGCAGGAAGGTGCGGTCTCGACCCCACCACCCCCAGATGGGTCAGGCCTCCAGGGCCCCGGGAGGGATCCTGGACTACAGTGGCAATGTGGCGACAGGAGGACAATCAGTGACAGCCCAGGGGAGTCATAACAATATACACGGACAGACTGGAGTTTTAATGTGTGTTCCCTGATCTGAATAATACATCACAATAACTGTGACAGGCACTGATAAATTGTAGTTTAACAATTATTGACCTTAAATTTGGGAAAGATTCGATTTTGGATTTTTTTGATTATTATTTATGCTTTGTATTTTAAGGTTTCCTTCATTTAGGTGTTACTAAAATGTCCAGAATCTCAAGGAATTACTTCAATAATGTATTATTTTACTTGTCCTTATGATATTTATTAACCTTCTCAGATGGTTATAATATTAACTTAATATGTATTTAAAGTATCACAGCCCAAGGCAGCTTGCTACTATTGTTTTGCTTTGATTCCTAGCAATCATGCTCTTCCTAGAAACAATCTGGGGAAACTTCTCCTGTTAATTCCATTTCAAAACTGCTACAAGGGTGACAAAAATCTCATCAAGGTGGCCAATGAACAAATGGTGCTTTGATGTTCCTTATTTGCCTCCCATCCTCCAAACAAACAAAATAGGATGTGCTCAGGTGGATCAGTGTCTTGGAGATTATTTTTGTAGGAACTGTGTTATATATATGAATGTGCCTGAGTGATTCTGCAGTTACAATTTCTTCAATAGTTGGTTCTGTCGAATCTGCCCTTCTGTTGTATCTTGTTAGTTTTACTTGGTGGAAAGTACCACCAAGTCACAGCCAACTCATGGCAACCCCATAGTTTTGCCATTTGCCGTCGCCTGCCTGTTGTAATGTACTCTACAGGTCTGCCCTTGAAGTCAACTTGGAAATTCCAGTTGATACAGATTGGGAGCTAGGCAAAGTATGCATATTACACCCATTCTACAGTCACTCCATTAGTTATCTCAAGGTAAAGGTAAAGGTTCCCTTGCTCGAAAGCCAGTCGATCCGACTCTAGGGGGTGGTGCTTATCTCTGTTTTCAAGCTGAAGAGCCAGCGCTGTCTGAAGACTTCTCTGTGATCATGTGGCCGGCATGACTAAACACCAAGGTGCACGGAACTCTGTTACCTTCCCACTGAAGCGGTACCTATTTATCTACTTGCAATTTCTTGCTTTCAGGCTGCTAGGTTCGCAGGTGCCAGAGATGGGAGTTCACTCCATCACATGGCACTAGGGTCTCAAACTCAGCATCTTAACCTCTGAGCCACCACAGTACTCAAGGTACTAGTCATTAAATACAAAGAGGCTATGGGGAGGGGCTGTGGCTCAGTGGAAGAGCCTCTGCTTTGCATGCAAAAGGTCCCACATGCACTCCTTGACATCTCCAGTCAGTAGGTGGTGTGCAAAACATCTCCCTGATACCCTGGAGGGCGGCTGCCAGTCTGAGTAGTTGACCATGACCTTGATGGCCCGATGGCCCGATTCAGTATAAGGCAGCTTCATGTTTCTTCATGTATGTTACTGTATGCCCTTCATAGCCTTGGACTCTTATATCTGCAGGACTGCCACTCCTGCTATGGTCCACTGCAACAGCTTCCCTCAACTGGAAAAAAAAAATTCTGAAGGTGCCACTCTGCAAATGGGTCAGGAAGACTCCCACGCTTCTATTATTCCACAAACTTAGCAAAACAGTAAACAGAGCATTATTTTGTAAAGAGCATAGGGCTGTAGTATAATGGAATGGTTCAGAAGGGTGCTTTTATAAATAAATAAGGATTGTACTCTTCTACTATTTATTACATATATTATTTTGCTTTTACTGCTTGTGTTTTCTGCTTTTATAATTCCTTTGGTTTTTTGCATCATTTATGATGTACCTTGTGTGATACTTTTTAGCATTGTTTTAGTTTGGGTAACCTTAGTTTGGGTAACCTTAGTCCTATGGCATTCTTTATTGGATGTCTCGTGCTATTTGATTGCATTATTCTACTCTGTGTAATCTGACTTCTCAGCAAGACAGGTGGGCTATAAATAAACAAATATATGATTAACAGCAAATACATTATAAGGGAATAAGGCAGAGAAGTAGATTAGCTCAGCCCCCTTCCAGCCTACGTCCCATCCCAAAGGTTGCAGGTTGTGGGGATAGGTTAAATGACCCCCCTCTGACACTAGTGTTGTGTAACGCCACGGTCCTCCAGGATTTTCTACTTGAGCAGAAGGCAGATTTGGCATGCATGACTGAAACCTGGGTTTGAGAAGGGGAGAGAGTAGCACTCTCCCAACTAGCTCCTCCTGGGGTTTTGGTCCGTCACCAATCATGGAGGTGGGGGGCGAGTGGCCCTGTTCATTCAGGAGGCTTACTCCTTCAGGGTGCTCCCATCACTGAAGATTGCAGGTATGGAGTGTGCTGGCCTAGTGTGGGAATCCACCCAACGCACCAGCCAATAGCCTACCATCCTTGATGGAGGCTGTGTCAGGCTGGGCATTGTAGCACCCTAGACTGATAGCCCTGGGTGACTTCAAAATCCATGCTGATGATGCAGCTTCCATTCAGGCGGCGGACCTAGTATCGTCCATGCATCAGGCTGTGCACACACTTAATCTGATTTCACTGCTACAGTAGTGCCATGGTTGGACCACCATGCCCTGAAGGCCTGTCTGAATGTGTCACCCCGACCCTGTTTGGATGGTGAGTATATTTTAGCTCTCCCACTGAGCCAAATGGACCCCATGCAGCTTTAGAGGGCTCTGTGGGAGCTGATGCCCCTTGGCAGCTCATTGGATGAGTTTGTCAAGGACTGGCACAGCCGACTCTCAGCAGTCATTGACGAGATTGCTCCCCAACACCCTCTGTGCCCTCACTCTAGGCTAGCTCCCTGGTATACCCAGGAACTGTGGCTGATGAAGCAGAGGCTAAGACAGCTAGAGAGACAGTGGCGGCATATGATGAATCTACAAGAACATCTTGCAGGACGTTTATGAGATCCTATGAGATGGCAGTCAAAGCCTCTAAGAGAGAGCATTATGTGGCCACGATTGCATCTGCAAGCTCACGCCCAGCCCAGTTGTTTAGAACGATTCAGTCTCTAACTACCCTGCCACAAGGCAGACCAAATGTTAGGGAACTGGACACTGAAAAGAGAGAAAACAAGATTACCTACTTTCCATCATTGATTCTGCCACTATTTTCTGCAGAGAAAAGGAAGGAAGTATAGATAAACGACTTGCAATCTTAAAGGTAGCAGTGTTCGTTGAAAAGCTACTGTAACGGAAGATTATGGAAAGTCTAAGGCTTTCCCGGTGAACAAGAAAGGGCAGTATTCATCTACTATAATACAGAAAGTAAGAAAGTAATACTAATGGGGATGTAATAAATATCGGAGCTGGATGTAAATTCTTTAAATTTCCATGCTGATATTTCAGAATTTTTTTTGGGGGGGGGGCAATAATCCCAATACTATTATTATTTTGGCATGTTAGGTGAATTGGTGGAGAGTTTGCAGGAATTTCAGTTATTACTATCTCAAATTGTTTATAGAGAAAGAAATTGCAGGAAGCACTGGAACATGTCCCTCATCTTGCATTTAACAGGGGCTGCAAGAGATACCGTAAGAAACAAAAGCTAGTGATGCCTTCTGAAACACACACACTCACACATAAACTAAGTAAATAGTTTTGTAAACTGTCTTGTCTTCTTTGTGTCTTCTCAGGGTTGCACTTGTGGAAAATATTCCCGAAGGCATAAACTATTCAGACAGTGCACCATCCCATTTGTCTCTTTTCCAAGGCTGGATGAATTTACTTAATATGGCTAAAAAGTCTGTTGATATAGTTTCTTCCCAATGGGACCTCAGTCCCAGTCATCCATCTGCATGCCAGGTATGCTTTATTTTAAACTTTCATGTCTTTCTTCATCAGCTTTGCATTTTTATGCTCATCCTCTTCTGTCTCTGAAACCTTGAAATATAATTTAGAACATCTGTTTTGCTTGCTGTGAATATTAGACTTTCTTATTGTAAAAGTTGTTTACCTGTAGAATGGTCTCTCAAGGTAAGTCATAGGAACTAGGTGAAATGAAAATTTTAGCACTAAAGTTAATGGATAATGAAAAAGCTCTCAGTTTAGCCACACAGCAATATTTCCATATCTCTCCCTTATAATAAAGCAGTAGTGGGGACCAACGTTCTAAAATGCCCGCCTTTAGTGTTTGGCTGGAAGAACTGCCACTCAGAAGACACTGGCTGGGTTGACTGGCTGCTTTGTGCAGTCCCGCCCAGCGTTTCAAGGTCTTTTGCATATGGAAGCTGATTGGACTTCACTCCATTCCACACCTCATACTCCCCCCCCCCCGCAAGGCAGTTGGAATGTCTGGTGGTGTGTAGGTCCCAGGATCATGTTTTAAAAGCTGCCTGGGGAGATGGGGACCTCAGACAGGTTACAGTGCCATAGACTCCACCCTCCAACCCAGCTATTTGCTCCTGGGGAACTATTGTTGCCAATCTTGGCCCAGCAGCCATCAAACCATTCTCTTCAACCCCCTGCTGTGCAGCTGACTTTCCCCTAGGGTTGCCAATCTCCAGGTGGGACCTGGAGATCTCCCACTGTTACAATTGATCTCCAGATGACAGAGATCAGTTCCCCTGGAGAAAATGGCTGCTTTGGAGGGTAGACCCTATGACATTATACCTGCTGAGTCCTCCCCCCCCGCCCAATGCTGCCCTCTACAGAATCCACCCCCCAAACCTCCAGGTATTTCCCTCCTTAGAGCTGGCAACCCTACATTCCCCTCAGTGCCTGTTGGTAGGCAACTAAGCTTGGTCCTGTCACCTACTTTGGCCTTTGGGAGAAAACACATTGGGGCCAGTCCTGATAGGGTTGCCAACTCCAGATGGAAATTCCTGGAGGTTTGAGGGATGGAGCCTGAAGAGGGTGAGGTTTGAGGAAGGGTGGGGCCTCAGACAGGTACAATGCCATAGACTCCACCCTCTAAACCAGTCAGTCCCTCATAGGGAACTATTGTTGCCAATCTCCAGGTGAGGGCTGGAGAGCACTCAGAATTACAACTGCTCTGCAGAAGGGAGGGCAGAAGTCAGCTGAAGTCAAAGGGGCAGATAATGGTAGGTTGATGGTTAGCTGGGAAGGAGATGTGGTTGCCAACTACATGCTGACAAATTCCTGTGGATTTGAGGGGTGGAGCCTGAAGAGGGTGGGGTTTGCGGAGGGGTGGGACCTCAGACAGGTAGAATGCCATAGACTACACCCTCCAAACCAGCCATTTTGTCCTGGGTAACAATTGCTGCCAATCTCCAGGTGAGGGCTACAGATCACTCACAATTACAACTGCTCTTCAGGTAGCAGAGATCAGTTCCTCTGGAGAAAACAGTGGACTCTGTCATTATACCCTGCTGAGGTCACCACAGCAAATTGACACTGTTTGCCCAAAGCCAGAGCACTGCCCCAGAGCCTCTTTCTAGATCTCGTTGTATTGCTTTCACAACGGGCTTTACTGCTAGTTGTTATATAAACAGGTATAGCCCATTTGTCAGGATCCAAATAGCTAACATAAGCATTCCTGAAAGTTACTATGACTCCCCACTGTGTATCTGAGGCTATTCCCAAAGAATACCCCCCCCCCCGAAAAGGTGCATTAAATTCTGCTTTTCTGTGATTAATTTCTGAGTGACACAAAAATTTGGTAATTTGTAGCATTAGAAACTGGAACAACCTTTTGAACACAGAGGAAGCAGCCTTATACTGAATCAGACCATCGGTCCATCAAGTTCAGTATTGTCTACTCAGACTGGCAGTGGCTCTCCAAGGTCTCAGATTGCGGTCTTTCGCATCACCTTGTACCTGGTCCTTTTAACTGGAGATGTTGGGAATTGAACCTGGGACCTTCTGCAGGTGAAACAGAAATTCTTCCACTGAATGGCAGCCCTTCAAATAGATGTATTTATAATAGGTTTCTGAATGTTTTAAACCAGGGCTTTTTGGGGGGGGGGAATGCACTGGAACAGAGTTTCAGAACCTCTTCGACAAAATTCTTTTTAAAATGTTTAAAAATTCATGAGTTTTCAGTATACAGATTGAAAACTTGATTTCCCTCTTGAGAGTTCCAGCAACTCTTTTTCGGAAAGAAAAAAAAAGGCCCTGTTTTGAACTATGTTTTATCAGATTCAGATTAGTGCCAATACCATTCAAGTGATATGGAACCAGTTAAAGGGTGGCATATATCTGGAACAAATTTTTAGCTCCAGAGAAGTTTGCCCATTTTCCACTGCTGGTAATCTTTGTTGCTTGCTTCCAGAAACTATATTACACTTGCACTTGGTGGTGGAAAATGCTGCCAAGTTGAAGATGATTTATGGTGACCCTGTAGAGTTGAAAGGCAAAAGATGAACAGAGGTGGTTTGCCATTGCCTGCCTTTGAGTAGCATCTAACCAGGACCAATCCTTTTCGGCTTCCATGATCTGATGAAATTTGTTTAGATCTACATCTACTTCAAACAAATGGTAGCACCTTCCATTGGAAGAAAACTTTCCATTGGAAGGAGTCCTTCTTTAATATTTATTTATTTCATTCACAATATTTATACCCCACCTTTCTGTTCTCATAAGGGCCACCAAGGTGGCTAACAGATTAAAAACATATGTAATCAAAATACATCTTAAAGTCATTAAAACTTTAAAAAAACCCTACATTATTTGAACCATTAAAACCAAAGCTAAAATAGCTCCAAAACTGGGTTAGTGGGCAACAAAATATATGAGGCTTGATGTCAATAAGTATAAAGTAATGCACACTGAGACAAAAATCCTAGTATAAACTAATTGGGTCTGAAGTGCTAGTGAATGAACAGGAATGAGATCTTGGATTCATACTCGTTAGTTCACAGAAAGTGCTGACTCACTATCCGACTGCAGTGAAAAGGGCAAAATTTATGCTAAGGATTATCAGAAAAGGAGTTAAAATGGCCAGTGCCACAATGTCTTCAGTTACCACTTGGTTACCTAAGGGAAGGAGGAGGAAGCAGGGAGAGAAAAGGGGGGAACAGACCCACAGAGAAATCCAAATGGGGGTAACATAGGCCACAGCTTTATTGATTACAGCCAATGGAGAATTGACACAGTTTAGGGCACGGATCCAGGTATTAGGTGACCTGTCTGTTGACTTTTGGGGGGAACCTAGAATGGCAAGTCCTGTGGTCCCACGTGTGTGCAAGCCCACCCAGCAGACCCCTCATTGCTTCCATGAGGCTCTGAGCCACCACCATGGCTGCAGGGAGGAACCTCCTTTTCCTGGCATTGATCCTTGCCCTGCAGTCACAAAACAGCCCCAGGTAAGTCCGGGGGCACTATTAATGGAACACTTTGTATAGTTCTAGTTCCTATATATATATAAAACGGTAGACCTAGAAAATGTGCAGAAAGAAGCAGAAGGAAGGGATTGTGCACTTTTATTAAGCAGGAAAGATAAAGAGTTTGGAGTAGGGTTGCCAGGTCTCCATGGCTTGCCAGCAGGTGGGATTTGGGGGGCATTCCGGGAGTGGGTGGGGATGTTGCGTGGCAACACACTGCATTTTGAGCAAAACTCTATGGTTTTTTGGCCTAAAACCATGGAGTTTTGCCCAAAAAACAGATCGTTGCCACACAGTGTCCCTGTTTGGGAGCAGGGCTTCCCCGCCCGCCAGCTGGCTGGCAATGGGCAGAAGCCCCAAAAAATAGGGGAACCCACACCCAGACCAGGCCTCTGGCAACCCTAGTTTGGAGGCTTTAGAATTCAGGAGAAAAAGACAAGAGGGGATGGGATACCAGTTTAAAAGTTATACATGGATAGAGAGGGCTGGCTGACATTGCCCACCTATCTTAGTGGAGCTGATGAAGACATGGCCTCTGCATCTGTTTCATTCCTTGTCTTTCAATAGTTACAAATCAACCCTTCCCCTCAGCTGGCTAGCAAATGCACAGATAAGGGTAACAGAATAACATGGGAAGTCAGAACCTGTGCGTACACAGAAACTGATTTCCCACAAGCTGCTGCTCTGCGCTCGCTCTTCCCTTTGTCCCGATTGTACGTGTCAATTTCACACCATGTGCTGCACGGCCGCATTTTGCCCTGCAGCTTCGCCCGATTTCCCTCGCGTCTACTCAATCCTGTTTTTTCTTTTGAAAAGCACTTTGAATAAAATAGGACATGCTTCTGAGTAGACCTTTTAAAAAGTTGTTCTCTGTGTATTCTTTCTTTGTAGGCTAGATAGCCACCTGCCAGCAATGCAGATTCTTTGAACTTAAGCAGATCATGAAAAGGAGGGCAGGAAGGTATGAGTCAGTGCTCGGCTCTCATGGCCCTTTCTTATATCACCAGGGTAATGCTGATCTCCACTTTGGGATCGGGAACGAATTTTCCTCTGTGTTAGATTGGCCAGGGGTCCTGGGTTTGGGTTTTTTTTGCCTTCCTCTGACCATAGAGCAGCAGTCACTGGGGGAGTGGGGGGTAATTGTTATGAATTTCCTGCATTGTGCAGGGGGTTGTACTGGATGAGGTCTCTTCCAGCTCTATGTTTCTTTTCACAATTGGGTAGGAAGTTGAAATTATTTTAACTTGACATTAAAATGTTACATATCTTGCGAGGTGCTATTATTAAGCTGTATGCCACATACTATCATGCCTGTTTCATGATTTTGGCAACTTCAAATGCCTCTTTTATTTGAATTCTGAAGAGCTTATCAGACAGAAGAGCAGTTTGTGTCAGAGTTCTCTCAGCCCCACCCACCTCAAAGGGTGTCTGTTGTGGGGAGGGGAAGGGAAAGGAGTTTGTAAGCCTCTCTGAGACTCCAAGTGAATGGTGGGATAGAAATAAATAAATAAATAAGACCTCTCTTGCCCTAACTGGGATAGCCCAGACTAGCCTGATTTCATCAGATCTTGGAAGCTAAGCATGGTTGGCCCTGGCTAATATTTGGATGGGAGACCTACAAGGAATACGAGGTTCATGAAATGGAGGCAGGCAAAGGCAAACCACCTCTGAACATCTCTTGCCTTGAAAACTCTACAGGTCACCGTAAGTTAGCTGTGATTTGCCGGCACTTTCCACCACCACCACTTGAAGATACTGGGTCTTATTTCCTTGGATTAAAAAAAAAATAATGTCTGACTATGCATTTTATTGGGATAGAAAAGGCTGTGCAGTGACAGAGAAAGTTTATAAATCTGAATAAACACTGCTTGTCAAACTGCTGCTATCACAGATGACCTGTAAAAACTAGGGATGCTTAAACAACCACAAGTTTGGCTCATGTCCTGTTCACAAGTTGTGAACAGAAACCTGGTTTTTTTAATAATAGTTTGTTAATCCATTTGTGGGTTCCAGCAGGTTGTTTCCTGTATTCCTTACTGTGTAGTAGAGCACAACTTGCTTTTCACACATGTGCATTCTCATGCAGCCAGCTGTTCTATTCTCTGTCCCCTTGCTGCATGATTGTACCACTCAGCAGCAATTGTTTGAACAGACAATTAGATCACTTACAGATAATTTAAATCAATTATCAATAAATGCTAGATTTCAATAAAATCGTATCCTCAGATATTCATCTAAGTAGACCTTGGTGATGCTAATAGCCACCAATGAGTTTGAATCAGCAGCATCTTTGCACATGAGACATGTTGGGGGAACTGGATGCAAACCAGGTCAGCAGGCATTTGTGACTGCTTGGCATGAACTGAACGGATTGAGTGATCAGCTCAAACATGCTTGCAGTGAAATTTGTAGCACCTCTAGTAAAAAGAAGATCCATTTTTGAAATGAGTCTTTCTCATATGTATACTGAAATGTTGCCTACATTTATCATATTTCTGTTTCAGCAACCCACATTATTAATCTGAAGGAATCCATGACAAATATAAATATTTGAAAGTGCTTGAAAGGTTTAGAATGTCAGAAAAAAGATCACAAATAGCTGTGTATCTTCTGTTCTCATCATTCATGGTGGAAATATGCTGTGCAGAACTGATAAAAACTGAAGGAGACAAGGTTCTGTTCAGCTATAACTATTAGTATATGACTACATGAAGCTGCCTTATACTACATCAGACCATTAGTCTATCAAGATCAGTACTGTCTGCTTTCCAAGGTCTCGAGATCTTTCACATTACCTACCACCTGATCATTTTAACTTGAGATGCTGAGGATCAAAACTAGGATATTCTGCATGCAAGTCAGATGCTCTACCACTAAGCTGCCCCCCCCTGCTTATACTGTAACCTGTCTGGCATCATAATGACCTAGGGTTGCCAAGTCCACATAAACTTACCTCGGCGGAGTCCCGCGCTGTACCGGGAGTCTGCGAGCGAGCACGCCACCCGGAAGGGACGTCATCACGTTGGCACGTTGGGGGCAGGGCCACTAGGATTCGAGGGGAAACCATAGAGTTTTCCCTCAAATCATAGAGCGTCCTGCCCCCAACGTGGCCAGCGTGATGATGTCACCTCTGGGTGACATCACGCTGTGGACATTTGCCGGAAGGGGGTAGAGTTCCCCCCAGGGCCCAATTTGCTGGCGTCGGGTAATGGGCCTCTCGGGCAGAGGTTTACCCGCCCCCCGGGAGGACTTGGCAAGCCTATAATGACCACCAGCTCTTTGTTGCATACATTTTTATATCTGGATTTTGCTTTCAGTGCATTTTGGTATGGGTGTGTGTATCTCTTTTTTTAAAAAAAACCTCATGTCCAATTATGTTATTCGCTTTGCTATTAAAATGTTCAAAATAAATACTTTTTAAAAATCCATTGATGAAGTTCTCTGGCAAAGCTGATGGACTGAAAGTTTTCCTTTATTAGATTATTTGCATTGCGACACATTGATCACTGAGAGTTATTTTTAAAGTATATTTAAGAAAGAAATTAAAAAATACATTCATTTAATATGCTATTTGCTGCAACTCTCTCACGCTCATTCATAAGTGTTCCGTGCCCTTGTGCAACCTCAGCATAGCCTTATCTGATCTTTTACCTTTATTACTTCACTGTGAATACTGAGTTAATATTAAATGCATAACAGAAATATTACCACAAAGGGATACTTGTTTGATGTAGAAAAGAATGTACTCTACAAATCAAAGGAAGAAGAAATCTGAAACTCATGTACAAAGGTGGAAGATTCTCCTACACCTGCTTGGTGAACACAGGGGATGTGGAGAAAGGTCACTTGTGTCCAAGCACACAGACATTAACTCTCATCTGGCTTCCCAGTAGAAATTCCTGCATAGAGCCCCCTACCATCATGCTGTGCCACATGTCTCTCTCCAGGTATCGAAAGCCAGATCGTGCCCCCAGGTTGCCCATCCACTGTGGTCCTCACCAGGGGTCTTGTTGTAGAAAAAGAGCTGCCGGAGCGCATTAGCATAACTCATTAGCATAACTTATTTGCATATGCCACGCTCCCTGACATCACCGGAAGTGACAGAAGGCCACACCCCCTGACATCACCGGAAGTGTGTCAGAAGGCCCGGCTACTTACCCTCCTGCTTCATCCTCATTCCCAAACGGAATGAGGATCGAAGCAGAGGGCGGGGTAAAGAAGGGGGCGGGGCTTCACCACGTGACCGCCCCGCCCCCTAGAGGTTCTCTTCCGGAGCTCCGTACCTGAGAGCTCCCCCCCGACTAGAGCCCTGGTCCTCACCTTATAGAATGGCCTGCCCAAGGAGGTCACGAAGGCTCCCACTCTCCTGGCTTTCCGCAAACTATGCAGAACTGAATTATTCAAGAGGGCTTTTCTACCTAGGCAATAGACTTGCACTGTACTAAATGATTCAAAAAGTTACTTGAATAAATTGTTAGGGGCTATGGTCTATACTACTGGGTACAGTTTAGTGAAACTAAGATCTTACTGTGTAATTTTTGCATCATGTAATGTGTAGTGTTAACACCTATGCGCTTCTGTTTTTAGACTTCTGGTTGGTTCTACAACTCTGCTTCCTATTGCACAGTTCATTGAATGTCCCATCCTGTTGATTGTATTGACTCACTCTGTGTAATCTACCTTGAGTCTAAGTGAGAAAGGCAGGCTATAAATGATATAAGTAAAATAAATTTTACTTTTAATTTTAAAAAATACTTGGAATGTTCTGAGGATCTGCTCAATTCAGCATGGCTATGGTCTGTGAAAGAAGAGGGTACTGACTCATTACTGGGAGAGGGGCTTGTCCACTTTTGGAGGCTATAGAGTGATGTGGCTTGATTAGGACTGAACATGCTTATGGCCTTTAGAATGCTGAGAGCAGATGAGAGTCCACCGGGGGAAAAGGAAGATGAAGAATATATAGAATCCCAGAGGGCGAGATTTTTCAGGTGGAGGGGCGATTTTCCATTCATTTATCCACTATCCTTTAATTCCCTGTGGTACCCCAAATGTTAACATTATGATAACATAAAACAATAGGAAATTCGAAATACATGCTGAAATTTAGCTTATTCTGTGTATTATTTTATGTGTTTAATTTAATAACAATTCATGGATATGTTTCCTTTGCTATTTTCTACAGGGTCAACATCTTTTTGAGAAATTGCAAGATCTCTTATCTGAAAACATTGAGGTCAAACTGGTGAGCGGTATTCTTCCAGTGAAATCAAATGTGTTACACAACCTGAAAAAAAAGGGTAAGACCAAGTTCTTCATGTTGCTTCATATTGGCATGAATACAGAAATGCCAGGTTGCTTTGAAGTAGCATGCATCCTTATCACGTCTGAGAACCCAGACGTCCTTGGATCTCAGCTTTCAGATGGGTTTTTTTTTTTGGCAAATAGCTAGGGGGTTACTAGCCCTTGCTTTTGGTGGGGGGAATACTAAGGGATGATTGGTCGTGGGCCTTTAAGGCCCCTGCTTGAACCTTGTATATCTGTTGCATTCACATCTTTGCCCTCAGTTCTAACACGGCCAGTGTTAGGTTTGGATCCTATCAATGTCTTAATAAACGTATCATTCCCCCAGAGTGAATGTTGTTAGGAACTGATTTACCCAGGAGTCTGACAGCTATATCATTCTGCCTTCCCTCCTGCCATTTATAATACCCCAGTATTTAAGAGACTGCCCCTTCCTTATCCACTAAAGTCTCGTTCCTACAATAAAGGAGCAGCATGAGATTGAACCTCAGTGGTATGGCAATCACTATGCCTTTGTAATAAAAGATCATATGAGTGATCCAGAAGATGTTCTTGAAAAATGCATTCCCCCAATTTGAAACATTTAGGAAATTCTGAAGACATTTTCAATAGAACCTCTTTTTCACTAGGGATTCACAAATGCCTGAGTATCCATTTGAAGCATTTTCCATGTCTTTCTGTTTGGATTGGTCCTGTTATGTTTTAATCTCTTTAAACTGGGTATTTTATATGGGTAAATTGAGTTATATTTGTCTAAGCCCTTTTGAAATGGATGTTGGACTGCAGCCTTAATCCAAGGCCATGATATGAACAAGGAGTTCTGTATAAACAAAGCCTTTTCAGTTCTTTTCTGGACTCAGGAAACTTTCATCTAAGCTGTCATAAGAAAAACTGGACCAGAACACAAGGTAGCTGCCGAATTTTTTCATTCGTGCAGAAGGACAGGCAAACCATTTATTTATTTATTAAATTAGATTTACTAGGCCGCCCTTCCCTACAAGTAGGGCTCAGGGTGGTTTACAATAAAATAATATACAAATCTCAGATTAAAACTAAAACAGCCCAATAAGTACCATTACATAAAAACAGCATATACAAGATGGCAAAAAAGCAGCATATATTAGATGGTGGAAAGGATTCCAACTCCCCAGCTCCCTAGGGGGAGGAGTTATGAGGGATGGGGATGTGTAAGAGTGCCAAAGGACACCCCCATCGCTGTCCTCAAGGCCGGCTCCAGTTTTTTTTGTACACTACGCGAGGCTACCTTCTGGTGCCCCCTGGTGCGCCCACCAATTTTCTAGTGCCCCCCCGCCCCAGCACGACAGCTTCACTTTTGTTCATAATTTGTTCTGATAATCATAAGCTAGGAAGCAAAGTTTCATATGAGGGGCTTCACACCAGAATACATGATGGCAATTATGGGGTTGCCAACCTCCAGGCGGGGCCCGGGGAGAAGGAAGACTTTCCTCTGTGCAAACTCTGCACTCCCTTGGAAAGTGGCAGTACTGCCCAGTTACAAAGCTCAGCAGTTGCGAAGGGTCAGAAGCTTGCAATGAAAGGGAGGCGGAAGGGCATCTCACCACCATGGCTCTGGAGGCAACACATTTTGGTGACAGCCCCCACCACTACACCTCTGAGCAAGGGGAGGGAGGCAGAGAGGCCCTATTGCCTCCATGCACTCCTGGGACAAGGTGCCTCTTCTTACCTGAGGGGAGCACCAGCACCAGCATCAGCGCCAGGCTGAGGAGGAGGCAGCGGCCCTGGGAGCCTAAGAGGGAGGAGGAAGGCCTGGGTCTCCTCTGCTGTCCCTGGCGCCACATCCCTGCCCACTCTACGATGCTCTGGGGCCGACAAGCAGGCCCGCCCTCGTGCCTTCCTTCCTTCGTTCCTCTCTCTGCCATGCGCCGCCTCTCAGCAGAGGTCGTTACCCCACTGGCGTTGAGTGTGCCTCGTCACAATGGTGGGAACAAGGAATGGAATGGAATGGTGGTGAAAAGGCACCCCATGCACACTGCCGCACCTGCGCAGTCATCTCCCGCGAATACTTCCCCCCCCCCACGTTGCCCGGGCAACAAAACAATGTGACTTCGCATGGCCTAGGCTGTCGCGAGGTGAGTGGGGCCGGGAGGGCAGTGCAGAGCCGAGCCGTGCAAGAAGGAGGGCAGAGCCCAGCAGAGGGCCCACTGGAGGCCAGAGCAGCATGGAGTCCCCAGAGGAGCACGACCTGGAAGCCGTTCGCCACCGCTGCCATGCGAGGTCACAGCAGCGTTGCCTCAGCCTACCCTGTTTAGGCAAGGGAGGGGAGAGGCAGCAGACCAGCGGCCATGAGGTGCCCCCTCTTAAGGGGCTGCCCTAGGCCGTTGCCTAAAAATTCTCTATGACGGGCCAACCCTGGCTGTCCTCAACCAAAGACTCAGCGGAACATCTCTGCCTTGCATGCCCTGCAGAATGGTAACAAACTCCTGCAGGGCACAGATATCCTCTGGCAGAGAATTCTACCAGGCACGGACCAGGGCTGAAAAAGCCCTGGCCCTTGTTGAGGACAGCATGGCATCATGGCCATCTTGACAAAGAGTGACATGGCTGGAAGACAAAATTAACGAGAGGTCATTTCGGGGGGATCGTGGGGGATCGCAGTTCCCCCGGGTGAGGTACGGGGGGTGGGGCACATGACAAAGCCCCGCCCCCTGCTTCCGGCCCTCATTCAGCCAGGAGGAGGCAGGAGAAGAGGGAGGGTAGGTTGCTTCCTCCCTGCCTCTTCCCACCCCTGCCTGCCTGGGGCCAGGGAGGGCCTTCGCAGGGCTTCCTTGCACTCCCGCCGGCCTTACAGGTCCACCGCCAGGCCCCTCATGGGGCTCGGCAGTGGAGCTGCAAGGCCGGCGGCGGCCGGGACCGTTGGGGGCAGGGTGTGTGGCCTTATGACAGACTTCCGGTGATGTCAGGGAGTGTGGCCTTATGACACACTTCCGGTGATGTCAGGGGGTGTGGCATATGCTAATGAGTTATGATAATGAGTTCCCCTAGCTCTTTTTCTACGAAATGACCCCTGAAATTAACTGATTTGCTGCCCAGTAGTTTCCACAGGTTAAGGGAATATCTATAAAGGTGTTGTGTTTTCTCACATTTACCTCTACTATCTCAGTGCACACACCATATTCTTTGCTGAATTCAACTCCAGGTGAGGGACAAGAGCAGTACAATTGATCATTCACATCTTGCAGCAGGTTTGAGCCAGAGTTGCCTATAATTTTGCTTTCTTTCCTGTTCCTTTGTCCACAAGAAAAGCACAATAGATATCTTCATAGTATGTTTTTTAGGCACTAGAGAACTATTTTCTGTCTCCATCCATGATTTCATGAACTCCCTTGACTGCCTTTTTTCTAATTTCACATGCTTTTTCATTCATGAGCCTTCCTAAGGATGGCTGTTATAAACAGGAGTTGTTGTATTTGTTGTGTGCAATACCGAGTATACCCTTGGAACTTTCAAAGCTAATGAATCTTTATAAATTTAGGGAACAATCTGCATGTTTGCATTAGTAATTGACCAATGATGAATTCTGCTTTACCACCATTTTCATAAAAAATATGTGTTTCATAAATAAACAGAAATATTTGCGACAATATGTTGATTTTACCATTTCTATTGCAGTTATTCTATTCTGGTAGTAATTTGCTGAGGGAAACATCTACATATGGATATTTTGCAACTATCTTTTTTTTTTTAACTTAAGAACATAATGACTTGAGAATATGGCACCACCACTTGACTGAGTGGAAATTAGCTGGCATTTAAAACTAGAACAGTCTTTTTGTCATCTCTTGAGGATTATTAATGTTCAGTATCACAACTAGAATATGAAATAATCAAAAGCATTAGAAAAGGTGAGAAGATATTTGGACCACATATTTGATCAAACTTTATTGGAGCTCTACTGGGCTACCTGTCATGAGAACAAAACATGTGCAGCTGTCCCTTCTGTATGATTGTTTTTATATTCACTCAGGTATCATTTGCAATCTGCGTTTGTGTATCTATGCACAAAAGAAGAAATTATTTATCTTTAATGAAAAGTAATATTAAAGGTATGAAGAACATAAAAACTATTTTCTCTTAAGGAACTGTATGCCAAAAAATTGTTTGTGATTGTTTTTCAAGTGTGCTTCTTGATTTCACATGGACATATAAAGCTGTTTTATACTAAGTCAGTCCACTGATCTATCAAACTCAGTGTTATCTAGTCTGACTGGAAGTGCCTTTGCAAGGAATCTTGCCTGTAGTCTACTACTACCTGATCCCTCGAACTGGAAATGTGAGGGTTTGAACCTGAGACTCTTCCATTAAGCACAGACTCCTCTTTCATCTTTCTTTCTACTTGTATATGGGGGTGATTAGCATTTCACTGATATCCAAATTCATTTCTTCCTCCAGACACATTAAAAAAAACACATTGGAAATAATCTAAATAATGATGCAGTAATTGTCAGTGGATATGCTGTTATTTGTGAGAACAAATCCCTCTGTTTTATGAGATTAAAAACTTCAAATTTTCATACAAAATCCCTTACAAGTTTCTTGTTTTTGTTGAAAATATATTGCTTATCATTAAAAGCCAGATGGTTTCTGGATGAGCTTTTAAGAATGAGAAACTGCATTTTTTTTCCAGTTACTTTTCTAGAAATGTATTATAGAAACAAATTTTAAGGGATTTTAATTTTCCAAAATGATATGTGATAAACATGACTGGTTTTGAATTGTCCCTATTTTACAGAATAGAATCTTGTGTAAATGTTTGGTTCCCCTGTTATACTGCTCACATGGATAGACACTCACATGAGCAGTGTTCTTGCATAAATTGGCCTCCTGGCATATATTTGAACTGACTTAGAGCCCTAAAGTCCCTTGTCCTATTTGAAATATGATGTCCCTGAAGGGACAAATTGTCTGAATCCACACGTTTTCCCCCTGGTCAAGTGCAGCAACACCATAATCAAAT